GGTTTTTTTGATGCAACATTTAAGATTTGTACAGTTTTGGCTTAATTATTGCTCTGATAATGTTTTTCTGTCAGCAAATATCCATTATTGAGTCTGCATAGTGATTAAATGCCTGTAACAATTAATCAGTTACTAAATTACAATCATTTTACAAATCAGTTTGTCCAATTAATCATTTTAGCACTATATGGTTGTAATGTTCTGCTGCATCAGCTCACAATGCAAAAAAAAAAACAACAAAAAAAAACCTGAAGCATATAAGCAATTAAGAACTAGAAAAACACAAATGGATGTTTTTAGAAGAACTCCGATAAGCTGCCTTATTGCCTTATGCCATGTCACCACAGACAAATCCTGTGTGGAATCCCATTTTGGAAGGATAAATAAGTTAACTATTTACAGCAAAACAGAACAGGAACAACATGTTCCTTCAGTGCTACACTATATCTAAAATGAACTGCATTTATTTGATAAAAAATAAAGAAAAGTCTGGATGGTAGCTTCAAACGTCTAAACACTCAGTGAAAAAAACACGACAAAGGAAAGAAGCAGCCTGAACGCTGAAGAACAACGTGGGAAGGAGCCAGTGTGTGAGGAAGCTGAGGTTAATCTCACTGTGAAAAGATCCTTTGGGAACAGCTTGTGGCAGGCAGGAGGGAAGTTTTTATTAATTTATTAAATTTATCACAGGCCACACTTCTCTGTCTGCATGACCAAAGAGGGAGCAGCGGACGGTTGCATACACTTAATATCCTCATATCGCCTTCAGCTAACGTGGTTAGGCATACACTTGGGAAAATCAGAGCGAATGGGTTTATTGATTTTGCTTTTTGGCCACTTTAATACTCACTACTGTCGGGGAGTGGCTGTGGAAGACCTTTTCATTCCACCGAAGATCTTTTCACTATAATTTCTTTCAGCACCCAACAGTTTTGAACTCTTTCTGTGTTTGTGTGTGTCTAAACATTTTGGTCTCTTACCCCTCCCTCTGAGAGATCTGAGGCGGAATAAACAGATACAAATGTTACTGTCTGTTTGAAGCTGCCAAAGCTCTCCCTCCTGCTTCATTTACCTGTAAAGGAAGCAGAGCATCTGTCCATCTAAACATCCAGGATGCAGATTCTTCACTTCAATCACATTCCACAGGAAGATGCATTCACCCAGAGTCAGGATGTGCGTGGGTATACAGGTAGAGTCCTATAATTCTTGTCAGGTTGTCGTTCACATGACAGAATCATTTCAGCCAAGGCCAGAAAGTTAAGATCTATGATCCCATCTTATACTTTATGCAGGATGTGAAAAAACTCACTAACTTTATCCACATAAACAGCCATGGCTGTTTGCACTGACAGCTTCCATCACTCAGCAGAGCTTCACATGACAGTGCTTGACGATCAGCCACACAAGCACTGAACGGGACTAAAACGAGCTGTAAAGGGACAGGAGTCAGTGACCTTTCACAGTCAGTACCAGTGGTTAGCAAGCTGCAGTTAAATGTCAGAAATGACTGCAGATTTTTATGAAGTATATCACAAGTTAACAGGGTAAATTCTTTTTCACCCGCCTGCACATAAATAGAACCCTCACCCCTCCACACACACACACCCCCACACACACACACAGTCATTACGTCTTTCTTTCTTCACAAGGACTTTGTATTGACTTCTATTTATATTACATTAATTTCTGTAGCCTAACCCTGAGCTTTACCCTAAATTTATTTCATATTCATTTAGAAATGACAATACTAATGTTTTAACTCAGGAGGAGTTCAGAAATCAATATTTGGTGGAATAACCATGAGGTTTTCAGTGAGGTTGAGTGCAGTGGACTCTTAATTTTTTCCAGAACTCTATGTAAACTATGAATCTTACACTATAATACAGAGTTCCTAGTACTTGCAGGACAGATGCCTCTGCCGGCAGAAGAGCACATGCAGGGGAGCAGCAGACGAGTGAGTCCCGGGCCAAGCCTACTGGTGGGACTCACTTGAGAGAGAGTGAGTTTTATTATATGTCTTGGTTGCATTGTATCGACAAAGCTTACTATAGTCTTCCTGAATGTGTGTTTTCCAGAGGGGCAGTGGACTGCAGATGTCCTTGCCTCAAGCTTGATGAAAACCCATGCTGTTTTTGGAAGGATCGCTGGCACAGAACAGATACACATTGTACAGTACAAGTCTCTGGGCCAGTCACGTGTTCAAGGGTGAGACTCAATGTTGAAGTGAAGATATGTAACTTAATGGGGGGGAGGACTTACAGGAGGTTTCTTTACCTTCACGTGCTGCTGTTTGCTCTTTGGAAACAATAAACCAAATTAAAAACCGCAAATAGTCAATAAACTCTCTTTGCTGCATTTATTTGTCATCTTATGTAACCATGCATGGCCACAGGGCGACGGATTAAAAACTATGAATCCGTAAACATGGGAAAGAAGCACAGCAAATCGGAGAGAGACAGTCAGCGTGAGATGGGGGAAGAGAAGCTGTAACATGCAGAAGTTTGCTGCCCTCTAGTGGCACACACTCTGTGTAGCACAATATGCCACACCTGTGATGGGGATGAATTATTCATAAATAAAAGGATGATAAAGCAGTATTTTAGATGGGATGTGACTGATAATATGCAGATTGTATAAATTATTGTCTCCAAGAAAAAGCCTAATCTTCTGCAGAAGCTGATAATTCAAAGTGATATTTTTAATACTAATAAACCTCCTGGGCTTTCATATGTACCCAGTAGGCTATGAAGCAGGTAGATAATTAGGTTTCCCCTCTTTTTCTAATCAAGAAATCAGTATCAATGTGATTTCCAGGAAGTATGGAAGGTATTAATGCCTTTTACCTGCAGGGAACACCAGTTTGATTCCCTGCTGCTACCTGTCTTTCTCTCCCACAGATTAACCACATAGTGCCAGTCGGCAGCTGCACAGCCGCAGTCAGGGCTTAATGATTAAGCGTTTACTCCCCTCGCAGCTCCCCACGCACTCTGGCTCATTGCCTTGTTTGAAACCTGTAGTGAGTCAACTGAGAGACTGGGCCTTGGTGGACACCGAGGCCATATTACTGTTTTTATCAACTATCCAGTTCCTCTAAAAGCAGCTTCTTAACCCTCTGCATGGCCACAGAGCTGCAACCAAACAGAGAAGGTAAGGATTTCTGATTTAAATGGTTTTGCTGTGTTGTTGTGAGTCACGGCTGTCTAGGCTACACTGGAGGCCCGCTGGGCTCCTTCTCTGATTTGTCACAGAGTAGCAGAGAAGAGGACATATTTGAAATGTTTGTTTATTTTTTTGTCTGTAGGAGTGATTAGTGGGTTTAAAGTAATTCTGAACGGTTTTGAACCAAGCAATACAGACTAATGGCGTTGACGTTTTTCAAAGTACACTGTGGTACTTGCTTCTGCTGATGGAAAAAGCTTCACAGTCGTCTCTCAGTTCTTTTTGTCTACAGTGCTGTGGAAAAGCAGTCGTATTGTGAACGTAGAAAAGTTCAAGATATACACCCAAAAGACTCCAAAGTCTATAATTGTAACACTAGCTACGCTTTAACCACAAAATTGTGCAATTTGAAACTATGAACATAAATTTGCTCAATAAAAACGCAACAATTAAAAAAAAATCTTGTTTTTTGATTAAATAAGTTTTTAAGCTATGATGAGATGGTTTCCTGGCTGCATCAAAACTTTTGTTTGCCTCTTGAATCATGTGATCAAGCAAGTGGCGACGAAGACGACAGGAAGTAGTAGGAGGATGATGATTTGTTTTTGTTTTTTCCAACAATGTGCAGATGTCTTCACCGGAGCGCTCACAGCATCACACAATTCATAAACAGTTGTGTCCAACGTGTTCTGTAGCTTTTCTGTAAAATCACCAACTATAATTTTCCCAAAACACCTCATACTAGCCACTCCCAAGTTGGTAGCTTGCTGCTCCAACACCTGAATAAGACGCCAAAGTGTGACTTCAGACTTTGTACACAAAATGGAAAACAGTTCAAAAGGAATGATTACTGGAACATTTTTCAGAGCCTCAAGTTCAGTTAAAGAAGCAGTATAATGTCAAATGAAAATGTTTGACCTTTACATCATCTTATAATGTTATTCCATAATATACCTGCAGTGTTTCCTCAATTCTTTCATGCATGTTTGAGAAATCCTTTAATCTCCATGGCAACCATTCAGCAATGCAAAACACCTGGACAGATTTAGCAACGCCTTCAGAGATGAAGCTCCTCCTCAGAGCTACTGCCTCACAGAGCAACCCCCTAATGACTCCCTCACTCAGCCCCTTCAGACTAGCCAGGAGCAATTAGCAACTGTGAAACTGCTGAGCTCCTTACGGGAGTTACTTCTCAGAGGACAAGAAAAGTTGTGTTGACTTCCTGAGGACAGAGTGTCAGAAGAAGAAGAGTTTCTAAAGGAGACAGAGGCCCAATTTCAAGGAATTATTACAATGTCAAGTTTCTTCTAAGTTTTATTTGATATTTACAGCAATTTTATAACAACCAAAGTTACCATAGTTACCTGATAGTGCTATAAAATGGCACTGTGGCTGGAAAACACAATACTGCTCCTTTAATAAGTGAAAAACAACATTAAACCAGCTGACAATGGAAGTGGTGCTAATTTTAGAAGCACATATTAACAACCCTCATACTTTTTTTTATCCTTGCCTCATAAAATTTTTAAATGTTCCCACAGCATGAAAAACTGGAGCACAAAATTCAAGGGGGAAGAATATGGAGGTGAAGACAGATCATCTTCTCACAACAAGACCCCCATCAGTCCAGCAGTTCCTGTATGGGTCACTCACACACCTCCGCCTAACCATGTGATGGATGACAGTGATGAAGACGGCATGTCCATGAGCCGCACATCCAGCTCTCCATCTGATGCTGAAAACAGCAAAAGGAGCATGAAGTCCAAACTGAGATCCCTCATTCCTAAATCATTGAGTGGGATCATAAATAAGCATGCAGGAGAGAGTGATTCTGAAACCACCAGAACTAGGATCCAGATTCTTCCCAATGGGACCAGGGTGAGCCCCCCAGTGAGTCCCTTCCTGGAGCGCAGGAACTGGGATGAGTCATCAGGGAACTCCACCAAAGACTCACAGAAGTCTTTGCTCAGACAAACCCCCCAAGAGTGTTTCTGTCAGAGCCTTCAGGAAGAGTCTCTGCTGACCAGCATCCACCCTGCAGAGTACTACGCCGCCAAAGTCGAGGTCTATCAACAGAAGTACTCTTATTTGAAATCATGGCCGGGTTTGCTCAGACTGCTGGCTGGGCTGCAGCTCCTGTTTGGCGGCATGGCATCTGCATGCGTCATTGCCTACATACAAAAGGACAGTGAGTGGTTCAACACCTATGGGCTCTACAGTGGAATAAACAACAATGGGCTCGGTTTGTCTGGGCACAGCTACACAGGGCCTATGACTGCCTTCGTTTTATCTGTAGCTGGAATCTCCTGGATGATTACTCTGAGTTTGCTAGTGACAGGAATGACCATGTATTATCGAACCATCCTCCTGGACTCCTCCTGGTGGCCCCTGACAGAGGCCTTCATCAACCTGGCCCTGTTCCTGCTTTACATGGCCGCAGGGATCGTATACATCAATGACTTGAATCGAGGGGGGCTGTGCCACATGACGATCGGGGTTAACCCCATCATGGCCAATCTGTGTCGAGTTGACGGAGGCCAGATGGCGGGAACGGCGTTCATCTTTATTAATATGATCATGTACCTGGGAAGCTTCCTGGCTTGTCTGAAGATGTGGCGGCATGAGACTGTTCGGAAGGTCAGGCAGAACGCTGACCAAAAGGTAAACCTGCAGAGGCTGATTCTTGCAGCCTTCCTTGCATGTAGATATAGGATGGAGGACTACTTGCATCACTTTCCCATTTTTTTTTCCTTTTAATTGTAGCAAAAAATCATCTGTTCATGATTACTATAAATAAAGAGTTTTTTTTAATGACAAATAATATGCAGTTCATGAACATCAATGATTAGATAGATAGATAGATAGATAGATAGATAGATAGATAGATAGATAGATAGATAGATAGATCTTTATTTATGTACCAATTAAGTTTACAGCAAAACAAAAAATCAACAACACAACAATTAATATTGAGCTAGAAGTTGTGGCACTAAATTCTCCTGCTTTGACAAATGGAGGTTAAAGCACTAAACTTTAACATACAGGTCCTAATATGACCAAAACAGTGAATAAATATACCAGTAAATTCATTGAACTTAAAAAAAAAGTAAAATTCCTCAGTAAGGGACACACTTCCGCCTAACTAAATTCAAGCCACCATTTAACTTAGTAGCTAAAATACAAACTGTTTCCATTAACTGTAGCACTATAAGACTAACAACATCTCCCTCTGAAAAAATTAAGGAGGGAAATGGCACTAAGAAAAAAATTAATATTTACATGTCATATCGGTTTTGGGTTTTAAAATAATTTTGCTTGTTTTCATGGAGAATGTATCAATCATCTTAAATAGTTTTTTTTAAGAAGAATTTGATCTTTAATCAACAAACAAAAAAGTTAAATTACTCATAATGAACTATATTTTCCAAAGTGTTCACTCGCCCATTAGTTCAAGACCCCACGTATAAACAAGATACCATGACGATGCTACCAGCGCTATACCAACTGTGGAAATGTATAAAGAAGACAGTCTGGCAACAATAGCAGTAAAAACTACTGATATGTTGTCTAATATAACATATGTTGCTAAATTTCATAAAAACCATTTATTTTAATATTAAGTACAATTATACCAGATTACTCTGTTTTATATCGCATCACAACCACACAGCTACAACCTGATCAGCTGATGTCAAGGAAACCACTAGATATGTCAAATAAGAGCAAATCTTGAAATTTGCTTCTTTCTCCTTAGCTATTTCTGTCTTGCAGAGAGTTTATTTTGTTAATCTTGTGCTATTTGGAAATTTTCCTCTTTTTCTTTTTGCTGCAGGGTGAGTTTAACCAGTCTATTTCCCTAAACACACAAAGAACAAAACAGATATCGTTCAGGGATGAGCCTGATAAACCTCTGAATAAAGACGGTAACTGCCAACCTGAACTCCCCCCTAAAGTCCGTAAATCAAGCGTCAGCCCAAACAGAGCTTCTGTGTCCAATGATACACCCAAAGTACATGTCATCGCAGATTACATAATGTAAGTTCAGACCTGAACAGTCAACAGCAATTACATGTACAGCATAAAGGCAGAATGAATTTGTATTCAACATGTTCTGTCTTGTTTCTTTCCAGTAAGTATCCAGAGATCAGATCTGAAGAGGAACGGGAAAAGTACAAGGCTGTTTTCAATGACCAGTACCTGGAGTACAAGGACCTTCACAGAGACATCATTACAACCCTCAATAAGTTCAGAGAGCTGGATACTATGGTGAATCAACTTCCCAGAAAAGGGAAGAGCTTGGAGGTAAGACTGATGGTTTCCATCCTGTGAATAATGATTTTCAGGGTAAATCACCTTTAGGCCTATTTAAACCAGGAGATTTGGATTTGGATTGTAAAGCTAATCTATTTCTATATTCTTAACAGGATCAACAGAGGATTCAAAATATTTTAAAAACGTATCAAGACAAAAAAAACGTAAGTGGAAGAGATTGCATCACAAAATATTAACTTGCTTATCTTTATTGATTCCACTGAAAAACAGATTTAACTCTTGTGATACTCAGGCTGTATGTTTGAGAATGTACGATTGCACAAACACTCCCGTAAAATGAGCTGTCCCATCAAAAAAAAAAAAAAAAACCTCTTTATGGATGTCAAATTATATGAAGTTTTATTTGAAATCATTGACAGAATTAATCAGACAATATTGGTGGAGTGGAAGTGAGAAATGAGAGGACGAGTACATTTTACAGCAATAAAGAGCAAAATGTGATGCGTGTGTTTTTACAGGATCCTACTTTCCTGGAGAAGAAGGAACGCTGTGACTACCTAAAAGCTAAATTACGGCACATTAAAAACAGAATCCTGGTTTATGACCAGGAGACCGCAGCCAATCATCGGACATGACTGGGACTACCAAATGCTATCATTTATTTTGTTGATTGCCGTCTTATTGTTGTGTACACTAGACATGCTATGCAAAAGGTTTTTCACTCCAAAGAACATGATATTTCCCCTTATATATATATATATATATATATATATATATATATATATATATATATACATTATTTCTCTTTCAACAGATGTTGATGTTTCCAATGTTGTCTTTGTTGTATGTGCTTTTATTGCAGTACAGCCGGGTTTTCCCATCCTTGAATATTTGTATATTTTCCTAAGTAAGGTATCAGTTTTTAAACCTGCCACCAGATCAAATGGACTAACATAAAGTACCACAGTTAAGCTGAAAACCAGATACTTCTTGGTATTGAGCCTGCTGTCTGCAGTCATGTTCATTACATTTCTTCAGTTGAGATCTGCTTACCATCAACTTCTCATTAAGCCCATATTTCTGTATTAAATATGTTTTTTTTAATGGTCTGATGTAATATTCAAATTTTAAATGTAATTTTTTTCATTACTTGTAAATGGCAATCATCATAATTAACAGAAATAAAGACTTGAAAACATCAATATGTGTGGAATGAATCCATATAATGTGTTTCATTTAGACTATTACTGAAAACCTAATTTATTTCAGGAACTTTATCGCTATTTTATTGATTGGATCTGTATCTATCGAAAATAATCTGCCTAATAAATGATTTATTTGATATTTTTTAAGCTTAAGAACTGAAAGTGAAGAAACATGATCTGTAGTGAAGCCTGGTGCTGACAGCGGCTGACAGTAGGTGGGGTTATTCTCAGTCTGCAGCGGTTGGATCCAGACAAAAGAGGTTCATGGTAACTGAATGTGTAACAGGATTATGGGTCACCAAGACTCACTGATGCACTTATGAAAACAAAGTTAGGTTCATGTTGTCTAATCCAGTAATAAATAGTAACGACTGGTTCCAGCTGTTCATAGCACATAACCATTTTTTCTAAAGGTGGTGAGCTACTGGACAGTAGCCACAGTTGCCCCGGGAGCTGTGGCTACTGACTGACAGATGCGAGGTTGCCATGCTCCGGCACCACCAGTACCAGACGAGGCGGGTGAAGTGTCTTGCTCAAGGACACTACAACTGAGCAAGATGGAGTGGGGGTGGTGGGTTTGAACCAGCAAACCACTGGATACAGGATGAACTCCTGCCACTTGAGGTGCTGTCACTGCACTTTTACTCTTTGTTTATGGTTTCTTGTTTCCTTAGTGTTTGCAGTTTATGTCAGCTTTAGGATTTTTGCTTCATCTGTGGTTCCCTGTGTCTCAGCTTTGTTTTTTTCTCCTTTCCTCAATTTACCAGTATACTTCCCTCCCCAGCTGTTTCACATCTCCTAATTTGGTTCTGCCTGCTCTCTTCCCCTGCTGCCTCTACTTACCTCTGATTAGTCCCTCTGTTTCCTGTACCTCTCTCTCCTCTCCCTCAGTGCATGTAAGCTTTCTAGCTAACATTCTTCCTCACTGGCTCCGTTATTCTCCGTGACTTTCAGTTCCTCAGCATTCAGTGTTGTAAGTTTCTATTTGTCATCTCTTCATTAAAAGCCATTTTTTCATCTGCAGGCTCACCAACCTGACTCACGATGGCAAGCTCACGATGGCAAGCTTCCCCCTTTTTCCTCTAGATGTAATAGTTGGAGTTTCCGGAGACCCCAAGACATACCCCTGAAATGAAGTTCTTTCTCCCTTCCTCTGTTGGTGTAACCGGATCTTTTTTGAGTTGTGCTTGTTATAAGTGAATAATTTGTCTGCTATAGTTTGTCTTTGGTAATTGACGGTTTCTCTGTTTACTCTAACAAGAACAGTAAACAAAAATCAACCACATTATGGACTGCCTGTTCCAAGTCATATGCAAAGCAAAAGTATATAACAAAACTAAAGCCAATTCTTGTTGCCTTTGTCATAAAGTTACATTATGGTTATGTAAGTAAAAAAACTTATGAAGTCATTTATTTGAGCACTGAGCTGACAAGGACAGCCCAAGGCATAAGTGAGTAAAGCAGCTGCTTAGGGACCTCCACACCACCAGGAGGTGCCCAAGAACACTAAGCTAATGTGATAAAAAATGTTATATATACTTAAAATAAGATTGAATGATACAAACTAAATGCTATTACACATGTAAAAACTATTTCTATATTGTTTTTATAGTTGTTAGACTAATAATGGTTAATCTTTTCATGTTGATGACTGCTGTCACTGTTGGGGTACTAACTTGTCAACTTGTTTACTGAAAATTTAGTGTTAAAATTGTTAAAATAATATGATACACCTAAATAACATGCTGCATTTCAAAATTAAAATATCTGTTTTAGTTTGTTATTCCTGTAAGATTAAAACCATTTACCCATAAGAACTCTGGTATGATGTAAGCTAACTACAAATGATGCTAATGACACCAGGTGTGTTACACATATAGAGTAACTTTAGAATACAGCATCTGGTGTCAAATCTGCTTAGGGCCCCAAAAAGGCTTGGTCATACTGACAGTGAATAAGTGAGTACATTTTGGAGCTGGACCCTGAGAAAGAGCCTCGGAGAGCCGGTGGGCTGGGGCTGAACTGCGTCCCTGCTCAGACACACGGAGACTCCGGGGAGGAGACCTGTCTGAGTCCGGCCCCAAAGGTGTCTGTTTACGGGAACCGACGCGAGTTGAAGGCGTGTTTCCAGTTTACCGCCGTCGGAGCGAACACTGATTAGAACCGGAGTGCTGCAACACAACCTGTGACCCGGCTGGGTGAGTGCCATGTTTCACTCTCTATCGAACACTTTTTAAAGTTTTGCAATTGTTAACTTAGAGTATCACAAAGTTCTGCTAAAAAAAAAAAAAATAAAATATTTCTTCCGAGCAGGATATAAGTTAAGTTCTTTCTCTTTAAGTATAAATTAAATAAAGTTCCAGGAAGCAGGAGAAGTGAAACATTAGACTGTCAAACTAACATGTTTTCATGTCAAGTCCAGTTGAGACATGCAGTTTCCAGAAGTAAGATACACTATTGACCAGCAACTTCAGAGAGTTCTGACCCAGCTGGCTAATCTTATATCGGAGCTTCACCTCTCGTGGTTGGCTGGCTCCCAGCGGGGCCCTACAGGTGTCATACAGTGAAGAAGCAGCACAGGGGGCCACACACGGCCGTGGTTCTGCCCCTGCCTGCGGTAAACAACACGCATGGTTGCCCCAGCTCTGCCTCCTCTCTGCTGTCTGAATAATTGAAGCCTGCTGGGTTGAGTTCTTCTGTGGAGACAAGGTGCGGGTCATCAATACTGGAGAGAGTGTGGAGGTGGTTCAGGAGCAGGGAGGCGCATTATGAAGCATAAACATGAAATCACTAAATCACTTTGATGATGCTTCTATACAGCTCTGGAGAGAATAAAGAACCCCATTCATGGTTATTCCACCAAATATTAATGTCTGAACTCTTCCTGAGTTAAAACGTTAGTATTGTTGTCTTTGCATTAATTGAGGTCTGAATCTTTTTCGTTATTTTGACCATTTCTCATTTTCTGCAACTAAATTTTTGCTTGGAATTTCAGAGACATGCTGTCAGTAGTTCATAGAATAAAAGAACAATGTTCAAATAATAAAACCAGAGAAAGAAACTGGTCATTTTAAGTTTGTGTGTATATATATATATATATATATATATATATATATATATATATATATATATAATCTCTACATCTCACATTTATCTCATAATAATTTATCAATTATCAAGTATCAATTTCATATAATGATACTTATTTCTCTAACTTCACAATTATGCCCTCTGCGATGTTGGCGTAATAAAATAGACTGTAGTTTGTAGTTACAAACGTGACAAAATATGAAAAAGTTCGCAGCATATGAATACATTTACAACACACCAAATGTTTTGATTTGCTGACTAGTTTTGACCATAATTTCCTTTCTGTTCTAGGAATATTCTCAGAAACATGTATGAGCCCCGGTACTATGACAGTCCCCCTGTGTACAGTCCTCCATACAGCACCACCTCCCACAGTCTCTGCCCCCCAAGAAGCATCCATTCCCCTCAGAGCCAGTATGTCTCCTATGCCCACCAGCCTCCTCCTGATTCCTACTACATGGAGGGGCAGCCGCAACACTTCTACAGGTGGTTCTCTCCTCCAGGTTTTGTTAAAACCTTCCAAGGAACCACAGCAGTCATGTGCTTCATTATCTTTGCCTGCGTGGCTTCAACTCTGGTGTGGGACATGAATGGGTTTGGGTACGGGGTATACGGTGTTGGGGACGCAGCCTCTGTGGGCGGACCCAGCTCGAGTTATTATGGAGGCAGTTATGGCTACGGCGGCTCCTATATGACGCCGCAGTCGGCCAAGGCAGCAATGATTTCCATGGTGGCTGTCAACTTCCTGGTTTCACTGAGTTTCCTGGTGGGAAGTTTCTCCAGGTCCAGGATGATGCGAGGGTGCAGGTTCTACCTCACCATTTTCATCTGTGACATCATCCTGGCTGTTCTTCAGGTGGGTTCTCAAACACAATACATTATATTGTAATGAGACACTGGGCACTTTCTAGGATTACATGTGAACTATGTTCCAATAAGAAAACTCACTCAGGCCACTATTTTGAAAGTTTGGCTCTCATATCTTGGTTTAATGGGGTGAGGGGCGAGGTAAGGGATTCTCTTCACATAGAACTCATACATTTTTGGAGCTTTGAAGGAAAAAAACAGTCAGATCCATCTCTTTCAAAATTAATCAGCTTCATAACTGTTGATTAATGCAGCTTCAAGCTTGATCAATACATTTTCCAACATTGCCCCCAGAAAGTAGTGACAGACTGAAACTTTTGGGTTCAGATAACATGATTAGAAGTAACGCAGGGCGTCTCTGGTTTTGTGATTTCCAGCTCTGCCTGTTTTATGAAGTTGAGGGAATGATTAAAACTGCTGTGACTAAATGGGCCTCTTTTGGTTTTCAGGGCATCATCGATATCATCTTTGTGATCGGGGTGAACCCCATGTCTCAGAGCTCACAGAGCATGCTGTATAACCCCATGCTTAGAATGTGTCAGAATATCCAGGGGACCCCGAGTCTGAGCGGCAGTGTTGGGGCCGGTTTCCCTGGAGGCTTTCCCATGTACAATCAATACCTTTACCATTACTGTTTCATGGACCCTGAGGAGGTCGGACTAGTAATTTTACTCCATTTAGTTCTTTAGTATTTTTTTTTTTCAAACCAGTTTGATTTGATTGGATAAATCCTAATGTCTAACTTCCCCTTTGTTCAGGCAGTGGGGTTTGTTCTGGGCCTGCTGGTGATTGTAGCTCTGTCTATTTCTGCTTACTACGCGTACAAGACTCGCAGCAAGATTTGGCGCCATGGAAAATCAAACATCTTGTGGGATGAGCCGATAGTCAGGCTGTCAGACGGGCATGATGTTCTGGACTGGGTGAGTGTGTCTCTCTCTTCTTATTGATTTTTAATAGACACACTGTAATGTAATGTCACATGTGGAAGATCCTCCCCCCACACACCCCAAGCTCCCTGCTGCAGGGCAAAAAATTGCTCGATGACGATGACCACCGTTGATTTTAGCTGTCAAGTTGTCAGTATAACGTGCTGAACCTTAAATGTATGTATGATTTATAAAAGAAAAAGGGATGCAGTGCTTTGCTACTTACTGTCAACACAATGACAAATAAGTTCCAAGAGTATCACATTTCACAGGTCAGTAACAAGTTTTAATAAACAAGAATAATGAGGGAGACAGAGGATGGTCAGTTATGCTAACCTGACTTTGACAACCTTAACATCAAGATGCGCTGCATAATTCAGTGTTTCGATTCAGATAACAAAAGAAATAAGGTGACCAACACACCAAATCTTTAACAGATCATCAACAGAGCAGGTGTTTAAATTGGCTAACAAGCCACTGCTGTGTTCAGATGATCACTTATTAATAATCACAAAATAAACATCAAGCCTAAAAACGTAATACTGAAATGGACTGAATGTTCGTGTGGAAAATAACTGCAATTTTTTGGTAGAGCTGTGTCAGCCAATCGCTATGGCAACAGGTATGTGTGTAGTGTAAAGCTGACACAGATAGATGGGAAAAAGAAGAGTATGAGTGGTTTTGAGTTACTCTTCAACAATTTTTCTTTATTACTATTCCTATTCTCTGGCACACTGCACGAAATTAATAATACCTACATATCCAGGTTTCATTTTGTTACCATGGCAGCACGTAAAACAATAGTCTTTTTGCCCTTCAGCGTTATGCGCATGCAAAAAATTCCCGGTTGTAAATGATAACATTCAACCTGTCTTTAGAGGTTATTCTTGTTTTTCTTGCAGTCTTTCTCAACTGAACAAATAATGGCAAGACAATGTTACCCTAAACCTAAGATTAGTCTTATACATCTAATGGCAGCTCTCGTGTCAAATGTTCTGTGGTTGAGCCCCTAATTCATCACCCTAATATATCAAGCTGCTTATTGTCATGTCTTGTGTTTTTTTTTTTTTTTTTTTTTTTTTTTAATTTTAAATAGTGAGAGACATGGATTTTTTGACTACGGGCCCCTCTAGGGGACTGGGGGATTTTTT